AATTCAAGACCAGAGTGACCATTATAAAAAAGGAAGTTGGATCAAATTATGTACTAGACTTGTACTGAAGGCCACATGAATCATAAAGGAATTAAATTGGTTTGAAAGCAGGACTTGAAGACAAGCTTATAGGTAAATAATCAAAAGAGAAAAAGATAGAATGAAGGCTAAACTGAAATTAAATTCTGTGGAAGAATAAAACATTTTCTAACGAGAAGAGGAGTGAAGTATATGATCCCAGATCTGCTTTGATACTTTGTGGAGTATAAGAAAGGGTCACAATTTGGGGATGATTTGCAGCCAAAAAATAAAATAAAAAGCATCACATTCTATAAGAAGATATCACAGAGGATACTTATAATACAAGAAGAGCAGGAGCTCTGTCATTGTAGGAAGTCAGTTTTTCCTTCCACCACTCTGAAAGAAGAAAACTTGATGGGACCATGAATGTGATATACCAAAGAACGAGAGATTTTTTGGTTTGGAGGGAATATGTTCCTTGAGATTGGATTGTTGAGGGCAGGGGTCCTCAAACTTTTTAAACAGGGGGCCAGTTCACTGTCTCTCAGACCGTTGGAGGGCCGGACTATAGTTTAAAAAAAAACTATGAACAAATTCCCATGCACACTGCACATATCTTATTTTGAAGTTAAAAAACAAAACGGGAACAAATACAATATTTGTATTTGCATGTGGCCCGTGGGCCGTAGTTTGAGGACCCCTGGTTTAGGGCATTCTTATAGGGTAAGAATTGTTAACACCTAGGTTATGGCTCACCAAGGGGGTTTGATCCTATAGGAACCCTATGCCTATTAGACAGGCATACTGTATACACTGGGGCTGCCTTTGTTTTGAGGTGGGGGATAATCTACTGAGGGACTTTGAGCCTGGGCCCCTCTCAGTTCCAGGTGACCTGTTCTTACTCAGTCTTAACATTCCATTGAGATAAATGTGGATCCTTCTAAGAAATCTACATTTGGGGCAACATCACTCAGGACATCACTCTGACCTAAGGAATAAACGTCCCATTTACTCCTGCTAAGTATGGTCATGTTTGTGAAAAGCTTTATTCCTACATGTTTTGCTAATTGAGGTCTTACTGTTTGTCATCTGATAAACAGTAGTTTTTTTTTAAATGGGACTTAGCATACTTATAGTAAATTTAAAAAATATTTATTTTTATTGATTCCAGAAAGGAAGGAAGAGGGAAAGAGAGATAGAAACATCAATGATGAGAGAAAATCATTGATTAGCTTCCTCCTGCATGCCCCACACTGGGGATCGAACTGTGACCTCCTGATTCATAGGTCAATACTCAACCACTGAGCCACGCCAGCTGGGCTACTTGTAGTAATTTTAATAGCTATTATTAGTTTGTCCCCCCCCCCCCCCACAACCCCCCTTAAACTATAAGCTTTACCAGGGCAGAAACAGTCTGTTTTGTTCATCACTATATTCCCAGTAGTTATCACATAGGTGCTCAAATACTTGTTCACATACTAACACATTATTTCATATATCTAGGATGTATGTTTCATAAAAATCTAGAGACTCATGTGCCTGCTTGGACTTCTCATAGCTTGGTAGCCAGGTTCCAATAGTGAGCATCTTAAGAAAGCAAGGCATTTTTGTGACCTCGTTTGGGAAATCATGTACTGTTACTTCTATCATACTTTGTCAGGTAGTGACAGAGTTCTTCAGAACCAAATTCAAGGTGAGATCTCACCACTTGATGGGAGGAGTGGCAAGTTCACATAAGAGCATGTGAAATAGGAGATCTTGTATTGGCCATCTTTGACAAAGACAGTCAATTACAGTTGTTTGTAGTTTTCATCAAATTAAAAAACAATTTTACCCATAATTTCTTCAAGTATATTTTGTTCTCATCTGCCTTGTTTTTGAAATTCTAATTATATGTATGCTTGATATCCCATAGATCATTAAAACTTTTATTCTTTTCAGTTTTTTTTCTCTCTTCATTTTGAATAGTTTATATTGTCTTCAGGTTCACTGCTTTTATTCTTTTCAGTTTTTTTTCTCTCTTCATTTTGAATAGTTTATATTGTCTTCAGGTTCACTGCTATGTTCTTCAGTAGTCTCTAACCTTTGAGCATATTTATATTAAACTAGGGGCCCAGTGCATGAATTCGTGCACCTTGAAAGGGCCTGTGGGCCTCGAGGCTGCGGTGAGCACAGGGGTGGGTCTCAGCCCATCCTCTGCGCCCCTGCCTGGCCCCTCCTGCTTCGGCCCCCATCTGCCAGCAGCCCTGCTCCTGCTGCCACCGTTCCCACGCGCTGATGGCGCCGGCCCCGATCACGCCCACTGATGGCACGGAACAATTGGGGAGGTGGAGAAGCCCTGAACGGCGATTGGGGCCAGTGCCGCGAGAGTGATCGGGGCCAGCGCTGGGTGCCGGCAGTGGGTGTGAGCAGTGGCTCTGGCGCCGGCAGCAGGTGCGAGCACCCAGTGGGACTGTGGCGCATAGGAGCAAAGAATTTTCAGTATCCACTAGAGGCTCGCCCGATGATAGTGACCGGTGCCCTGCCTTGGTCTGGCGCCCCCACTTACCCGCTCCACCATCCTGCCACCGCTGATGCCTGCCATGGTCCGCGCGCGTACCCCCTGGTGGTCAGTGCACATCATAGTGACCGGTTGTTCCACCCAGTTCGGTATATTTGTGTATTAGGGATATATATATATATATATATATATGTTTTAAGGTTTGTCTGCTAATTCTGTCATCCCTGGGTCTGTTTCTATTAACTGATTCCCCTCACCCCAAATTTTTATAATTTCCAAATATAAAAATAAAATATTTTCCTGCGTCTTCACATATCTAGTAATTTTTTATTGTATATTAGCAACTTCAGTGCTACATTTTTAGGTGTCTAGATTTTGTTGTCTTTAAAGAATATTGAAACTTGTTTAGGTAAATAGTTACTTGCTAATCAGCTTGCTACTGTAAATGTTTGTTTTTAAGCTTTGTTAAGGCTGTTTTGGAATAGCTTTTGCTCTAGGGCTAGTTTAGCTCTAAGTCTAGGGGTGATCCTTCTGAGAACTCCACCAAATTTAAGGAGGTCTCTCTACTGTGGCTATAAACTATCCCAGACCTGTGTGAGCTCTGGGAATTAATCAGTTTGCAATCCTGGCATTTCTTTGGCCCCATGGGTTGTCACCTAACACATGTGTAGGTTAGTATTCAGTAATAGACTCAAGGGATCTCTATATAGATTTCTGGATGTATTTCTCTGTGCTGCAAATCCCAGCCACCTCAGCTTCCTCAAATTCTAATCTCAATTTACTCCATTCATCAAGCAAGATGTGGTACCTTTTTTTTTAATTTTTAAAAAATATATATTTTATTGATTTTTTTTTACAGAGAGGAAGGAAGAGGGATAGTCAGAAACATCGATGAGAGAGAAACATCTATCAGCTGCCTCCTGCACAACCCCTACTGGGGATGTGCCCACAACCAAGGTACATGCCCTTGACCAGAATCGAACCTGGGACCCTTCAGTCCGCAGGCCGACGCTCTCTCCACTGAGCCAAACCGGTTAGGCACCGTGGCCAGCAAACCGCGGCTCGCGAGCCACATGTGGCTCTTTGGCCCCTTGAGTGTGGCTCTTCCACAAAATACCACGTGCAGGCGCGCACGGACAGTGAGATTGAAACTTCATGGCCCATGTGCAGAAGTCGGTATTTTGTGGAAGAGCCACACTCAAGGGGCCAAAGAGCCGCCTGTGGCTCGCAAGCCGCAGTTTGCCGACCACTGGGTTAGGGCAAGATGTGGTACTCTTGCCACTCTATACACTGTAGTCTGGCAAGTTCTTTCAAACAGAAAACTAGGGTGGTCACAGGGCTCACCTTATTTGTTTTCCTTCTTAAAAATCCTTTTCAGGGATCACAATCCTGCACTGAATATTACCCATTGTCTAAAGCCAGTTGTTTCATGTAACTTATCCAGATTTCTAGTTTTGTATGGTAAAAGGGAGAGTTCTATACACTATTATAAGTCAAAGTATGAATTTTAAATTCAGGATTTCTTTTTTCGTTTCAACCACTTAAGTTTTTAATTTCCAAATATAAAAATAAAATGAAGTCAGCTTTGGGCTAGAATTAATAATTTGGGTCCAGGTTTCACGCCTACTTCTAACTTGCTGCATGAATATTGGTAAATCCCATTTCTTCTTTGACTTTTACAGCCAAATTAAATTGAATATAACCCTATTCTCACTAGTTCTCAGGCATTCCATAGCAAGCAAATAGAAATAAAAAACCACACTAAATAAGGATGAGGTTATAAAAGCTGACACTTCCAAAACCTCTTTGGTCCATCTTCCAATTCATACTTTTTTGTAAAGTATAAAGAGGCCTGAAATGAAAGTATGGTAAGACTGATGCTGTTTCATTGCCTGTCCTCCTACTGAGTGCCAGGAACTGTGTAAGACTTACGTGAATTAACTCACCAAATCCTCATCACTGTCCAATGGGATAGGTAATGTTATTTGACCCCATTTCTCACATGAAAATGAGACACAGAGATTAAGCAACTTGCAGAGGGTCATATAGCTAAGTGGCAGAGGCAGAATTGGAATTGATTTGAACCCAAGCTGTGTGACTCAGGAGCCACGCTCTTAACCACTGTGTGACTATTTGAAAACTTGAAATGCATCAATTGCTGCTGATGGAGAATCATTGTTTGTAACTGTAAATTCATCCTCAGAATCCCTTCAACAAACCCTGTTTGTTTAGTCAGCCTGATTTCCATGAGGAAGCAGAAAGATTGGGCTATAGTTGGAATATGTGATTCCTGAGAAAAACACACCATCAGTATTGCAGGAAATGATGGAAGATGATATACAGCAAAAACTACTTGGGAAATAGGATCTGAGGGGAGTCCAAAGGGTCCAGTGGGGGGTCACTGGCGTTTACTGAATTTCTCCTGACTGGCAACTGTTTTGATATTAATAATTTCTATTCTTTTTCTCCTAATTTTCAGACACATTTAATCAAGTCAAGCACCAAAATGCTACCACTCTTGCCTAGAGAGAGAAAGGCTGCTCAAAGAACTCCACCTGCAGGCGTTCGGCAGACCAGCATTGCTTCCTTCTTCACCTTGCAGTCGGGTATGGTGACCTGCCTGGGAGCACCCAGGGAGCAAAAGGGAGTGCATTCATTTTTTCATGCTGGAACATTTATAAGTGACACCAGTGCATAGCTCACCTATTAGAAGAGGTTATAAAACAAAATCATCGCCTTCTGAAAAGCAATATATACATGCTTTTACAAACATATTTTTTTGGTTCTGTTTTGCTCAGTCTAATATTAAGTATTTGTATTCCCTGTCAGAGCAGTGAGGACGGGTATACTTGGGAGTTGAGGGTATATAGGGGAGCTGACCTTTAGTTAGGGGTATGTCTTGGATTGGCCACGAGTAGTCTGCATGATCAATTGATAATTGATATTTTTGTATGAAGCGTCTCAAATTAGCCAAGGTTCAACAATGTTTTTTTCTTAGAAAGGTTTGCATAAAGTTGGCTTGTGTCTCAACATCCTTTGATGGTTCTTTGCCTGCATGTCCCACTTCAGGGGACCAGCTGGCTCAGAGCAGGCTGGGACTTACCGAGCAAGGTTCCTGCCAGGTGAAAGGAGAGCTCTAACTCTTGGTGCGGTACCCAGGATTGCTTTGCATAAATCTTCAAAATGCACTCTCCGTACCCCAAGCAAAAACTTAAGCTCTTTTGCTTTAACAAGGACAGGCTTTTTCCCCCTTTTTTTTTTCTTTCCCCCAAAACACTTCCCATTTCAAATTGTAAAATTCTGATATATTCTGTTTATATAGAATTTTTAGGCAAAATAGACAAATCTTTCACAAAACAATTTCTGCAGTGTGATAAACTTCACATATGAAAACTCAGCTGGAAAAGTGGTCTGATTATGTCATGTTTGACTTTATTATGGAGCTCATGGGAAGCATCTATGTATTTGAGTAGGGGGATATATAAGCTTTGTGTTTTAGAAAGATCATTCAGGCAAGAATAGAGATTGAAAACTAGAAGCTCAGCCACAAGGGATGTGAAGAGTCTAAGACCCCTGCACAAGGTAGTTATAATAGCTGATACTGATTTCAGAAAGAACCAGCTAAATCCTGCTCAGGGCAGAGTTTTCCTGCAGAATAATATGTGTTCATGTCTGTTTCACTAGGAAAGAAAAATGGTGATCAGAGGAGTGTTTCATCATATATAGAAAGTCAGACCAACAGAGAGTCTAAGAAAGATGCAACCCAGCTAGACCATCTGACCCAGGGCTTGGGCGATGATTGCGTGGCACCCCCTTTAGCCTCTTCAACCCCTACAGACATCCAGGAAGCTGGACTTTCTCCTCAGTCCCTCCAGGCTTCTGGCCACCACAGACTGGGAACCCCATTCTTGACTGTGCTGTCTTTGTTCCAGCCTGAGACTAACTTAGTCTGTGCTGGAGAGAATCAAGACTCACTGGCTTGTTCCTTCACCCAGGACGTGGAAAGTTCTTGCTTGCTGGACCAGAAGGAGGGAGAGAAGGATTCTTCCTGGAAAAGGGAATGGCTTCATGGGTCTAAGAAAAAGAACCGTCAGGGTATGGAGAGACGCAGTAAACCACCTGGGGGCAAGGGCCTACAGCCCTGGGACAAGCCTAAATTGGAAAAGGTGTCTGCCAAAGAAAACAGGCAGGCCCCTGTCCTCTTTCAAACTTACAGGGAGTCCTGGAGTGGAGAAAACACAGAGGCAGTGAAACAAAGGTCTTGTCCTGTTCCTGTGGTCTCCTGGGACAGTGAGAAGGATGACAGGGACTCCTGGAGTCAGCTTTTCACTGAGGATTCTCAGGGCCAGCGGGTCATTGCTCACAACTCCAGAGTTCCTTTCCGAGAGGTAACCAACAGTTGGAATCAGGGTTTAGGGCAGTTTCCTAGCAGCCCTGGGGCTCAGTGCCAGGATAGGCTCACTCAGTTAAACCAGCCTGATTTGCTCTTTACCCAGGACTCTGAAGGTAACCAAGTTATCAGACACCAAGTCTAAATATCTTTGAGGGTTTGGTTTTAAAAATACTTGGGGAGGTATGGAATGAAGCTATTGTTGAACATTTTGTGTAAATAAAGCCGGTGGTGATACTTGTTGAGACAGTATGGTTGGCATCATTCCTTTCCCTGAAGAACAGGTGGCTAGTAAATTCCTTGTATGAATTCAGTGAGCACTGAGGAGGCAAGGGAGGTATTCATCTCTCCACTAAAGGGCCTATTACTCAAGCAACTCTTTGCTCTTTCAGATGCCTAACTGGGACATTGCTGCTGCTTCTTCTTTTTTTTTAATATATATTTTATTGATTTTTTACAGAGAGGAAGAGAGGGATAGAGAGTTAGAAACATCGATGAGAGAGATGCAATCAGCTGCTTCCAGCACACCTCCTATTGGGGATGTGTCCACAACCAAGGTACATGCACTTGACCGAAATCGAACCTGGGACCTTTCAGTCTGCAGGCCAGTGCTCTATCCATTGAGCCAAACCAGTTAGGGCTGGGACATTGCTTCTTAGAGATGTGTATACTTTTAATCTCTGGTTGTAATCATACTTACTCAACCTAAGCTTGGGACCACTAATTCCTAACACTTTTGAGTGGTAAACAGGAGCAGGGGGATAGAGAGATAGGTAGAAGGTAGAATTGTAGCAGTATTATTTGTTATTTTATTCTTGTGGTGACTTTACAGCATTTTATAGTCTCTGTTTAAACATCTCTTCCTTAAAATTCCTGAGCTATATAGCAATCTAGATGTGACTGTAACACTCCTCTATTACAAAGTGGGTGAGAACTCCCTTTGTAAAACTGAGTCCAAATAAATGACTGTTTACCAAGCGGCTCTTGTGGTAATTAAAACATTACCAGTTTTATTTTTGAAAAAGCAACCTTTTAAAAATATATTATTTTTATTGATTTCAGAGAGGAAGGGAGAGAGAGATAGAAACATCAATGATGAGAGAGAATCATTGATTGGCTGCCTCCTACACACCTCCTACTGGGGATTGAGCCCGAAATCTCAGCATGTGCCCTTGGCCGGAATCGAACCTGGGACCCTTCAGTCCGCAGGCTGAAGCTCTATCCACTGAGCCAAACCAGTTAGGGCGAAAAGCAACGTTTTAATATTAGATGCTGTCACTGCAGTAGGTCCGATCTGAACAGGAGTCTAATTTGACCTTTGTTCTATCCAAGACTTTATCCATCAGGTAGCAGTTTTCTGTGACGCAGGTGTAGTACCTAAGAGGCTCCTAGGGGGCAAGCTTGCAAGTTATAAGATGGAACCACTTTAAGAGCTTAGGACAAAATCTCTCCATTTTTTTTTTTTTTTTAATAAAAGGCAGGACTTTAAAAGGAAAAGGGGTACATCAGGAGCCTATTATGAAAGTTCATATACTACAAAATTAACAGGAATCCTATACCCATTGGGTACATCAGGTGATTGTAACTCAGAGATGGACACAGCAAATGCAGTATCTTGCCAAATCCTTTAATGTCAGGTAGTACTTCAACCCAAACACACACGGGATACATACTGCAGAGAAAGGGACCTGAGGGCATCTGAGTCATGCATGGTGTGGATACAAACCTTGGCCCAATGCAAAGAAGCAGTCAAGGGCCTCAAAGAAAGATGGTATTCTCTTTCCCCTCCCCATTTCTGTTTCCTACTGGGCTTGAACTAAAGTCCATGGAAGAGCAGGAGTTCAGTCAGTGGGGCCTTGGAGGGTATATTTGGTTGTACAGTATTACAAAATATATTTAAGAAAAAAATAGCCCAGGCCTCCCAGAAGCAGCCCAAATGTCAGCTGGTCCAGAGGGCTGACCTCTACATCTAGGTGTTAGACATGGGAAGAGGGTGATTGCTGGGCATTGGTGTTGGTTTGTGATGGAGCAGCATAAGATTTTTCCTGCCCTGTGAACATGTACATAAACACTGATAGCTCTCTCTGCTGCAAGAAAGCTGCTAAGAGTAAGTGACAGCTGGGCACAAAGTGTCCGGTAAGACCAGTTATAGGGTCTTATGCAGTGAAGTAAGTCATTCAGGACCTATTTTCACACAGGGGCAAGGAAAAACCAGAAACTTCTAGCTCAGCCTTTACACCGAAACATTCCAATCTATACATTTACCTGTAACAAGTCTCTGAGCTCACAACAGGCCTTAGCTTCTGCTAAGGTTTGAAGTATGGGAAACATATAATCCAGCTCTTTCAGTCCAAGCTCTAGCTTTCGGCAAGACTGTTGCAGAAAACTTCTGATGGAGAGACAAACATTTGCAGTGAGGAAGGCAGCTACTGAAGGAACTCCAGGAGCAGGAGACTGAGTGTGCAGAGCTGAGTGCTGTCAGTTTCCTTTTCTACTGAAATCTTCTTCCTTCAGAGCAAACTTCCTTCTTAGGACCTCAGAGATAAGGACAGCAGGGTCCTCCTCCTTCAGTAAACTCCGGTTCCTAGAGACATAATAATAGCATAATTATTAATAATTTAATAATTTGAGTACTTGCTCTGTCTTGGGCAGTGTTCCATGTCTTTGAATACGATCTCATTTAATTCTCAACAATCTTACGAGGTTAGGTGCTATTACAATCTCTTTTACAAATGAGGAAACTGAAGCACAGAAAGGTTACACAATTTCCCCAAAGCTACTAAGTCAGTCAGTGGTGAATCCAGAGTCCAAAAGCAAGCTAGCAGATTGTAAATCTCATTTCTTAACTAGAATGCTTTACTATTTCCTGAGATGGCTATAAAATGTGGACAAAGGACCATCAACTAGTTAGAATTGGCTGTGATGGCTAAGCTTCTGCTCCCACCTTTGGTGCTATATTTTCTTAGTAACATTTCCCCAGATCAGCAGATGAAGTGACATATCTCTTGTCCATTTTGACCTTTATTAATTCCAGGGACATGGTGTTCAAAAAGTTTTCTACTATTCTGTCTCCCCATCAAGGGGTCTGTGAGCTTTTTAAAATGAGATCTAGAATTTATAGTAAAATGTTCACATAAGGGACCAGTGGGAAAACCCACTCCAAATTGGCGTAGGTTCAAATTACCTGACACATCATAAAAGTATGTCCTAGATATCTGGAAAATAGTTGCTTGAAATCCTAATGGACTTATATCCATATACATATATCCTCATGAAGTTTTGCTAGATATAAGGGTCAAGATTGATTATTAAACCTTGAAAGCAAAAACAAGAGTAAATGCCTTCAGTCTGTCACATTTCTGCCCCTTTGTTAGTGGGGCTACTTTCCCACTCTTTGTCATTAACCCATCTCCTCCAATGAACAAGGGACAAAAGATCCCAGGACACAAGTGGGAAGAGGGGCTTGGATCTAATATGGGGCAAGAAGCAAGTAAAAAAGTTTTGGAGTCAATGACCAGAAGAGAAGGACTCAGGGCAGCTCCAGAGTAGCAGCTGAATTTGGGAATGCAGGAGACCGAAGAACTGTGGGTATGACCAAGACCAACCTGGCTAGGGCCAGAGAAGGAAGGTGAAAGTGACTTCCCTAAAGGATGCACTACCAGGAAACAATGAGGGAGTCACAGCCTTGTCTGGTTTTCAGACAAAATGGCCAGACACACAAAGGGGTCCTTGCACAAGGTGAGTAACCTTCCCTTCAACAGGAACTTGGGGGAGAGCCCTCTTCTCTCACAAGAACTTTTAATCTACATTAACAAATACAGCTGCACATCCTGGCCTTCGAAGTCTGGATGTCAAACTTAAATGTTTTAAAGCCCAGAAACCTGCAAATAAGCTCCTTTGGTGTGTCCCATGCAGGTGCTCAGACCCCACTGAACACTGCAAGGTGGTCACCCCTCCAATATGAGCATTCCGATAGGCAGCCAGGTTTAGAAACTTCTCAAAAAATTCTTGTTCTCAAGTCTCTGAAATTGCAGGGTTAGTTTGCATAACACCACTATTTCAAAGCAGAAACTCCCAACCTGATGAAATTCTTCCACCAAAGAAGTCTACCAATTTGAGATACTAAAGTAATTATTAGGCAACCCAACTTTGAAGGGTGGGACATGGGGACACTTATTAGCAGTATGGTAATGGTAAAGTCCCTGGGACAGAAGTAGGATTAGATGAACCCTGTAAAATTGCACTAGTCTAACATTTGGTTGGGTTAGATCACCCCAACAAATGTAAAGTGTTACTCCTCAAACTGGGGCCCCAGGCATTAGCAAGCAGGTGGCAAGGTTTGTGAATGAAGTTAACACATGGCAACTACTGAGGACTTGCTATGTAAGTACCCTTTATTAGATCATTGGCCACAGGTAACTAAAATAGTAAATAGATCACCAGAGCTCATTATCAAATACTTACAGATCTTGACTCTGTTTCATCCGGTGAAAGTCCTTCAGGATCCCCATCATATCTGCAAAGCTGCTGGCCTTGGACAGAGAGACACAGTCATCCTCTTCAGATGAGCTGCAGGTAGCTTTGTGTTCCGGTTTGCAACATTCAGGGCTGGCAGAACAAAGCAGGGGGACTGATGGAAGCTCGGGGACCTCTACCTCGGTCTCCTCAGTGATGTCACTAATGACAAAGGAAGTTGTAGAGTGGAATGAGGATCCAAAACAAGGTAAGGGAGAAGAGACATTTGAACTTCCTGGAGATAAGAAATCTGGCGTTAATGAAGCCGAAGCTGAAAGAGAAAACAACAGGCATGGATGGACATTGGGGCTAGAGTACAGCAGTAATATCTTCTGCTCACAAGCACTGCCTACCATTCATTCATTTCCTGGGCTGATATCCCAGAAGAGCCCAGGGTGGTTTCTGTAAGCCGGAGGAAGGTTCCTCCACTATGCTTCCCTCTCAGGATTTCAAGATGTAGAAGCA